TGAGGCAGGCAACCTTTTTGCTCAAGGTAGTAAAGGCGGCAGTCATCCCAATCCAGATTACATGCGAAACTAGTTGACACTTTCAAAGGAAAAGGCTGACCAACTGGAATTTGGGTATTTAGCTCGGACCTGTCTGTCTGAAATGCGGCCAAATGGAGCTGATCAGCTTTTTGCGTGCGCAAAAAGAATAAGAAGAAGACTGCGACCTGTGCATGAAAGGCTCCATCGAAAGCCCCCTGAATTCGGCTTGGGGCATTTTCCTTCTCTGAGCCGTTTTGCCCCAACAGACCGGCACGAACAGATCCCCTCGCCTGGCCATTGACTCCATTCGCTTCGCTGGCTGCATTGGCCCCATTGGCGGATGGCATCGTTGCCTCACGGGCAGCGCGAGCTTGCGCTGGCAGTGGCCGCGCGCTGCCATCGATGTCAGATTTGTCGAGTTCAAGTAAATCCAAGCGCCCGGACTAATCAGGGGTAGTTCACCATGGCATTCCTGCGATTAGTTTGGTCCGGATTCCAAAGATGACATCAGCACCCATTGACGAGGGCCATCCAGCAATATTCTAATATAGTCACACGGTTCGCAGGTGACGCACCCTTTCACTCACTGACTTGGAAGCCGGGAAACCCTGTTCTATTCAAGTCGTGCAAAGGAGCTTCCATAAGCTCGCATCTTTGGCAAGTGCCCCCGTTGAAGAAAATCGCATCTTCTGTGATACCAAAGTGGGATTCCCATCCCGCGACTAGTTTGTCAGTGTCAAGGGCACTCCCTTCATATCTCAGCAAGCCCTCGATGCCCGCCTTGGACTGGGCGATTCGGAGGTCATCCTTCAATCCGTCCACATCCCAAACGCCGGGGCTTTGCAGGTAGTCCGCCTGGGAATGGACTGGGGCCCTTGCAGAACATCCTTCAAGAAAAAACTTGCTTCCTCCAAACCGCGACTTGTGCCTCCCACGCGCGCAAAACAAAGACAGAGGACATCTGGTGCAGGCAAATTCAGACACCTTCCATTTGCTTAAACCTCCCCAACAAAACATGTGCAGGGCTAGATTCCCTAAGGCAACAGGAGAGAATAAAACATATTCTTAGGCAAATGGAAAAAACCAACCTAGCGTCCGAGCTTTCGTTCGGTCCTGAATTGGCTTGTCCCCCCCCCTCCCAATCGCCCCGCCTCTCTGGCGGAGGCATCCAACGCACGCAGCTCCCGGAAAAGGTCCGCTGGACCCTCACCAGGTAAGTTGCCGATGTTGTTGGGGTTGATCAGGAGAAAAATACAAATGACCTTCCCACAATGAAAAGCTATATAGGGTCATTTGCCCAGGAATATTGATCAACCTCTTGTCTGTCCTGTTGAGCTAACTGAGTATCTTGCAGAATGGTAGTCTACTGTTGGTTTGGGGGGGACAAGGACCCAAATGTCCGACCAACATAGAAAAACGTGCCCCAAGCGTCCCAACAGAGAACATGTTCCATGGTGTATTTGTCTTTCGCTTGTTTTGAGGCTCCTGAAATTGAAATCCCTGAAACCCATCCAGGGTGAAAGTTTGTGTCGTGTTGCTCGCGCTGATTCTCAGGACTGGGAGTGCAAGGCATCCCGTCAATCACGAGAAGAGTTCACAGGCACTCATTCTCAGGATTTGTTGGTGTCCCGAAACATCCTGCCAAAAAAATCGCCATGGGTATGACACCTGAAACGCTCCGGCTTCATTTTGAGATGGCTCCGGCTTCCTGAGGCCGGCCCCGCGGAGTGGCTGAACCGACCCGCCTGCAGCTTTTGCTTCGCACTCTCCTCGCCCGACAGGAGCCGAGTGAGATCTGAACCGCAACCGGGGCGTGTGGTTTCTGTGATGGTCATGGATCCATCCCCATCTGGAAAATGTGATGCTGGAATGAAAGTCCGGGACCAGTAGCTGCCAGCGAGTGTGAAAGCGCTGGCGTGACGAGAAGCGAGCTCACAGCAACCTACCCACACTTCAACTCCCAAGGGAGGATGATGCTAATCATTCGAGTACAACTGATGAGTCTCGAGTACAACTGATGAGTCTCGAGTACAACTGATAAGTCTCAAGTGGGATAAGCTTCGGCTTGCAAGACGCTTGGCTTTCCGGTAGAATCGAAACCGCTACAGATTCAACAAGAAGCACTTACAGCGGCAAAAGAAGAGGGCCAAAACGACATTCAGAATCACTCAAAGGTTGCAGGTACGCGGAGTTGATCAGACTCCGTATCAGCCGTGGCATAGCCCTCTTCGTTGGGCAACCAGCTATGCTCACGGGATTGCACCCCTGCATTCTGATGTGGTGACAGGGTATTCTGCCACTCCGCACACACACGCCCCTCCACGACAACCGTACATTACCTTTTGCATTCGGAAGACCACGTGCTCAACTCCCTAGTGTCTACCAAAATATCCACAGCGGCGGGGAGAACGAGAAATTGCACGCTCTGTACGGCGCCGCTCAGAAGACGGGGGTGAAGGGTCTCCAAGTTGAGCAGGAAGTATGCCGCCATAGAAGACCGGCGGAAGGTGCAGGGAGGATGGATGCGCAGCGTCCGTCATGGGCGGGGCGTAGGTGAACATATCCATCACACCGCGATCTTGTTGACGAAGACCATGCTGAGAACCCAGTTCCTCGACCTGGATGGAGAAGTCCGGATTGCGCATGTGGAGAAGAACTCATAGCGGGTCAATACTCGTTGGTATCCTTGATGCTGCCAATCTCGAATGGTCCAGGCTTGGCTACGTTCAGGCGCATGGTGACCTGGCTCATCGTGGTCTTGAGTCTCATCACCTGGCGCGGTCACCCGTTTCCACTCTCGAAAAGTGTTCTCTGGCAGGTCAGGTACGTCATCATCCTGGTGCCAGAGTTGAGGTTGACCAGGAATGTAGATCCGCACCCACTCTCGTTCCTGCCAGACTGAATACTCCAGCCACGGCTGCTGGACGTCAGCCTGGGCCCGCGCTTGGGTTGCATCATCAGTATCCATGTCGAGATGTCCGATCCAGCTAGCAAGGCAATTGTCAAGAGCGCAAGATGACGTCCCGTGGGACGCTGTCCACCAAGCTTCCAGCTGAATGTACTCAACCACGTACAAAGGATATACGGCCAAACCGATACAGCCAAACCAGCGCAAACTGTTGTAAGGGTGTTGTTCTATAACCGCACACACGTTCGAGATCAGCAGCGCGATCGCACCTGTTTCCTCTCACTCGGATCGATCACAGGTAAACGCAAGTTCATGCAAGACCTTGAGCCCTACTTGAGTCTTGAGCCAAAGGTGGCATCCATTGGAACACTTCAACCAAAGAGAACATGGACCTCAGAACGGCTTCCCAATTTAGGCACGGGGCCAGGAGGGTTTTAACATCCCCCATTTGGGTCGCACTGTTCATCATGCGGTCCAAACATCACAACAAGTCCCAATGGCCACGGCTCGGGTTACGAAACTGTGTCGAAACATTCTTTCATTCACGATTGCATCGCCGTCTATTCATTGTGAAACTCAGCCGGGTGCGATTAAATCAAAACTCGTGCATCCGCAGATCACAGTACGCTCCTATACACAGAGACATGAGGCATTATACCTCGCACCACACAGCTGCCATATTTGCGCATCACGCAGCTGTCATCCACCGAAATGGGTTGGCCAAAGAACTCCATAACAGCGCATGGCCACAAGCCATCTGTATATTACCGGCAAAGAAATTGGCGAACAATATATGCAAAAATAGCCATCCCAGATACCACGGAAATGGAATCATCCATGAGGTAATAGTGCCCATCCATGAATATCCGGAATGCCATAGTCGTCGGAATATGTAAATACATACATAGGCATGGTCCTTGGACAAACGAAGTCACTTCATATCATAATTCATTCCGTCGTAGTGAAATCAATGTGTTGCTGGCGATGGATGGGGTCTGGCCCGCACCATGCCGTAAAAGCAACGATGATCCACTTCGTAGTGAAATCAACACGTTGCTGGCGATGGATGGGGTCTGGCCCGCACCATGCCGTAAAAGCAATGTTGATCCACTTCTGCATCACACAGGTCGGTCCACAATGGCCAGCCTAGTGATACGTCGACGGAATTCTTCGTCCAAGTTGTGTTGGGCGTCTCGTGCTCGGACATACTTCTTGTAGTGCTCGTCCGCAAGCCAGTGTCCCTTCCGGATGCACCAATCAAGCAGAGGTCCGTCACATTTGCCCGGGTCTGTGGCCGCAATAATAGCGCTCACGTTGACCTCATACCCATGCTTACCAAGGTTTAGCCCGGTCCTCGCGAAAGATATGTACTTGCATTTGCCAGAGAGAAGCACCTGTAAACAATGTCTCCCACTGGATGTTTGCGTTCGCTGACCAATGGCTTCATTTCTTCCTTGGTGATGTCGAGGATCTTTGCCGCACTCCACAATTTGTAGAAGATGTACAGCCCATTGCACTTGAGCGCCGAATAGCGAATGTATTGGTTGCGCTCCTCGACTGTTCTGAAAGTCCTTGATCGAACACTCTGAGAACGAGATATCACATCCTCAGAAGATGGTAAAACAATACCAGCACGATGAAGTTCAGTGACGTTGGGATAGCGCGCCAAGTCGTTGTGGTATGGACATGCTTGAGCCCCTCTGATTGCGGCGTCCATCGCTCGCTTTTCACCAGCCTCAAACATCCCCCACATCCTTGACTTTTGCAGCGCAATGAACCCCGCCATGTATTGAGCCTCCCGTGGCTCATCCATGCAGATTGCTATCCGTTGGGATCTGATGATGTCGCGCGCAGCCATGTCATTGTCGCGGTAATCCCATTCGTTGTCTTCCTCTTCGGACACGTTGCCGGATGTGTACCCCTGCGTGCCCATATCATCATCTTCGGGATCATCTTCCATTCCACCATCCCTCCCTTGTGCTGCCGCATTGTCGTTCGCTTCCTCCTGCGCCCGCCTGGCATCTCCGGACACGTTGGGTTCATGATCGCCATCATCGTCGCCTGAGCCGACATTGACGTGGAATCTTCCAGTAGAAATCAATTGCGCTTCGCATTCCAGGCATATACAGAAGCATGTAGGAATGGCAGCCGCACAAGATGGACAAATTCGGCATCTGAGGCCTTCCCAATTTTCGTCATTCAGGATGATGGTTTTGCTGATCTCATCTCTGATCTCACTTGTCAGGGCTTCCAACTCTTGACGTTGGCCGCCTCGAAACAACGCGCAGGCACGATCCACCATGTCCTTGACGTAGTGCAGATTGTCAGCGCCTGCCTCAGTTTCCTGCGATCCCTCGATGACCTTAGTGACGTTCTGAAGGCATCAAGGCCGATTCTTGGGATGAACCAACGAAACCAGGACAGATCTCATTCTCGACGCATTTCGAGTACGCCCGCTTGACGTTCTCGATGTCCAGGCATTTCCCTTCGTTGCACTTGCCGATCCATATGGACTTGACTTCATAGAACGGGATAACATCGAACACCATGAACGTCCCGTTGAACGCAACTCCGGCTCCGTACAGTGCAAGAGTTGCACTGGGAATGTAAATGATCGCGAGTGGATCCCCGACCCGCAGGTTACGTAGCGAAGTCTTCGTGGCCAAGCTCATCTTGTCCCATGGAGCGAATGCCCCAAAGTGCAGTGCCAACCGGTTCCCGCCACCAATTCCGCCGGGGACTAGCCCGCAACGAACGATGTTTGGCAGGTTTTCCACATATGTCACGTGGAATGCGCCTCCAAGGGCGTCACCCATCCTTGCGGAATACCTGTTCGCCAGTGCGGAAGAGCTCATGAATCCAAAGTCGCTGTGACCAGTCGTGGCCCGGATGCACCAAGGTCTGTACCATCCAGCGCATCTGCCGAATATCACGTTGATCTCGTCCTGAGAGTGACCCATGTAGAGCAGTTCCTGTCTGGCGGCCCTCATGTCATTCGGGTTCATGATGCTCGGATACCTCACTGCTCGGCTCTGAAACCTCGACTTCTTGTATCCAGATTCCTGCCATTTCATCACTTCTATAATGCCCATGTAGCGTCTCTCTTTCGAAGTTTTCGGTGGGAAAGGGTTCACCCCATAGTCGTTGATGATTGCGTTGATGTCGACCCACCCACCTTCATCACACTTGAAAGCACTTCCTCGGCAATTGCCGATTTTGTGGCGAAGGATCCTGCAAAGGTCGTGAGATAGCTGATTAGCTTGATCTCGCGTTCCGAACACAGAATATTCATCGCCGATTCTGCAAAATGGAGCGTCTTCGAATGGGTGAAGGCAGAAGTTGATGTTTTTGCCAAGCTGTTGCACATCGATCTGTTCCAAAATGGCGCCCTTGGGGAAGAATCTGGGATCTGTCATTGACGCATACGCCCATGGTACGTCGACGCTATTCACGTCACCAGACCTTGGGATGTAGCATGGGATGGTATCGCATCCCCGCTCCAACGTTGTCTTGAAGGTCCTGCGATCCCCGCACGGGTTGAAGGTAAGGTCCACACCGCCGCATTGCAGTTCGCCCCCTTCAGCCGTGTCTGCCATTTCCACCAGATTGATGGTGTAGCTATACATCTCTATCGTTTCTTTCCCCATTTGCTCTCCTGTCTTGTGTTCCTTGGGTGTTGATGACGAGGGCTCCTCTGTATCCCCCATTTCTTCATCCGAGGACACATGATCGCTGCTGAGAAGTTCAGGAATCCTCTTCATCGCCTCGTCATTCCCAGCAGCCTCTTCGATCTTCTTGCAGCAGTCGCCGTCGTGGGCCGCGTTCGCGCACTTCGCACAAATTCCCTTATCCTCCATGCATTTCTCCATTGAGTCCAGAAACTTGAGTGCCGCTTTCCGACCATCGATCACGCGCTGCTTCTTCTCC